GCATGTGATTGAGATGATAATTGATGAAGAGAAATTAACATCTCGAGAAGCAGTAGATAGGCTAAAGTTGCAGATGCAGAAGCACTCTTCCCCTTACAAAGTCAGCTGGATTAAATCTGTGGGTGATATCAAGGTCACTGAACAGAGCATAGTTAATTTGTCTATTCGCAGATATAAGGATATAGCTATTTGTGATATTGTTTAAATGGATGCCTGTCATTTAATGTTGGGGAGACCGTGGAAAATTGATGTGGATGCAATCCATAAGGGAAGGGAGAACATAGTAGAGTTTACTAAAGACAAAGTGAATTTTACCTTGTGTCCCCCGAGACAAAGTACTGTTCCAAAAATTAAAGGAAAATCTATAGTATTGTTATGTGCAGTAAGGGAATTTCAGAAGGATTCTTTGTATGCCCCTTTTGTGTTTACGGTGGTGAATAAGGGACTCACCGATTCTGCAAGTGACATTCTAGAACGACTATATTCCCTTTTGGAGGAATTTCATGACATCGTGCCTGAAGAACTTCCTGCTAGATTATCGCCACTTTGAAATATCGAGCATCATATTGACCTTGTATAGGGGCCACACTTCCTAATCTTCCCCATTACAAGATGAGCCTAGCCAAACATGAGGTTTTACAGGAGCAGGTGCATGATTTATTATAAAAGGGATACATTAGGGAGAGCATGAGCCCATGCACAGTACTGGCACTCCTTGTGGCTAAGAAGGATAGGGCTTGGCAGATGTGTGTTGACAGTCGGGCTATCAATAAAATCATAGGGAAGTATTGATTCCCGATTCCTAGACTAGATGATATGCATAACATGTTGCAAGGTGCTAATGTCTTTTCGAAACTTGGTCTTCAGAGTGGCTATCATCAACTTAGAATTAGACCTGGAGATGAATGGAGGACGGGTTTCAAAACTAAAGAGGGACTGCACGAGTGGCTTGTCATGCCACTCAGAATCTCTAATGCATTCAGTACATTGACAAGGCTTATGAATCAGGTTCTGAAGCCATTTATTAATAAATTTGTTGTTGTTTATTTTTATGATATCCTAATTTATAGTAAGACTAAAACGAAGCATGTCGAACACTTTGAGGGAGGTTTTACAAGTATTGCAGGAAATGAACTTTATGTGAATATGAAGAAGTGCAATTTTATGCTTTCTTAAACTGCTATTCCTGGGATATGTTGTCTCTGCCTATGGGATACAAGTTTGTTGATGTCAGTTATCAAACAGGAGGTTATCTAAGAGTTTGTGGAGTGATTAGGGTCCTCTAACTCCTTCTGATGAATGGTTCTAGGGCATGTTATTCTTCCCTGCACATGAAAGAACTTGTAAGAGGGCGGAGGTGAGTTCTCTGGTTGTTCCTCCGAAATCAAGTCAGTAGATGATCTTGAGTGAGGAAATATATAGTTAGCTCTTAGTTACGTCCCAAAGATTAGAGAGCGTTACCTCATGCAGTGACTGCTCCTTTTATAGTGAGTCTGAGGGGCAAGAAGGTTACTTGGGCCAAGTCCAGCTAGGCAGCTAAGTCGATAGATATGTGCTACATGTCGGTTGTTGAAGGAGGTGAGTCACCTGGTCATTTATTATGGGAATGACAGCAGGTATTTGGTGCTGGCTTGGTCCGATGAGTTATAAAGGCTATGAGGGCTCAAGTAACAATGATGTTGTCAGGGTAGTTAATGCGAGAATAGTCAGCTGACAAGGGGTTTGAGGTAACTGTCATCTTGTTGACTCCTCAGGCCTATGACCGAGAAACACTGATTTTTGACTCGGTTATACGAGATGTTGGCCGAACAGTGGGCCGAGTCGAATCGTTTTGTGGAATCAATTGAGGGTTTAGGCAAGTAGTATCACTTTTTAACTCGGTTACGCGAGATGTTGGCTAATCGAGTTAGTCGTGCTGAGGCGGAGGTTATCTTGGTCTTAAATTAGTTGGATTAGGTATAACGTAAGACATATATCGACTTCTCTATGGAGATTAATATTTACTATTTTTTGAGATATAACAAGGTTGATGAAGGGAAAGTGTGAGCAATTCGTGAATGACCCCGACCTAAAACTGTGAGCGAAGTTCACAGTTTCCATGATCTTGCTACATTCTATAGGTGGTTTATTTGAAATTTTAGTTCCATCATAGCACCCATTACATAGTCTATGAAGAGAGGGAAGTTTCAATGGGATGAAGATGCAAACACCGGTTTTGCAATTATTAAGGAGAAGCTGACCACCACTCCCATCCTTGTCTTACCAGATTTCAGCAAGGCATTTGTCTTGACCCCAAGATTAGTTTGTTTTGATGATAACAAATATTATATGTTGTGTGTATTATGTGCTAACATTTGTTTTGCAGTATCAGAGCTATATCAATAATTATATTCAAAGAGATACTCAAGACATAGATGGGTTCAAGGCAAAATAAAGCAAAGAAGAAGATATACTTTATTGTCAAAATATAATTTTATATTTTCTTTGCTTAGAAATTTGTACAAGCCTTGATCACTCACACACATGCACACACATAGTGTTAGAACACACTAACACATGCTTAGTGTGTTGGTTAACAATAGAAATCCCCTATGTTAGCCATTAGAGTTTATAGATATTAAGTGAGTCTTAAAACATTTCATTTACACCCCTTAGAAATTAGAATCTAGAAAAACTCAAAAGACCAAAGTTGTAGGTCTCTTCAAGATATTTCCAACAAATCTTAAATCACCTCATTCCGATATCGGATGAGAAAGTTATAGTCAAAATACTAAACAGAAAAATTCCAGAATCTGAGTTTACAGTGTAGTCAACTACTATGCCTTGTAGTCGACTACTGAGCAATTTTCTGACTTCACAGAGTCTGTTTAGACTCAGTGTAGTCGACTACTATGACTTGTAGTCGACTACAGATGCAGTTTTTCCAGATTTCAGGTTTAAAATAAGTGACTGTTTATAGCCGTTTTGTGGACGTTAATTAGGTTTAAAATTATGTCATTTCAGAGGCTATAAATAGGTTTAAACATCAGAAAACAAGCACCAAGTTTTACACTTGCAAGATCAAACAATTTGTGCATATTCACTCTCTAATTTTCCAGATTTTTATGCTAAGTGTTTAGAAAAAGAGAGTTTCTGATATTGCCTTGGTTTCAATCATTCTTAGAGATTGTATAGACAATATTCAGAGAGTTAAAAGAATCCTAAGCCACTGCAGCACTTCACTACACATTCAAGGCTTATAGGATCAATTGTGTTCTTGCTTCAAAAAGGATTTCTCTCGGGTTTGAGAGGGTTGATCTCTTGGTTTAGAGATTGGGTGGCAATTGGCATGGTCTTGTCAATTGGTGTTGCAATTTGCATGGTCTTGCAAATTGGTCAGGTTTGCTTTTGATTTTGTAAGGTTTCAAAATCATAGTGGAAATCTCAAGCGGGATTTGCTTGGGGACTGGATGTACACCGGGTTAGTGGAACCAGTATAAAACTTTGTGTTTGTGATTGTGAATTTTTGAGATTGCCATTTTTCTTTGTAATTTATAATCTACTTTGCATATATTTTAAAAGAATACTATTCACCCCTCTTCTAGTGTTCTAGTGTATCTATTTCAGATCCTACAATTTGAACTGGAGATGGACGCCTCTATTATTGGCATTGATGTAGTTTTGTCACATTCAAGTTGTCCTTTAGCTTTTATGAGTGAAAAACTAGGTGGTGCACATACGAAGTGGACCATTTATGAAATCGAGTTTTATGCGGTTGTTTGGGCAATTAACAATTGGGAGAAATATTTATTTCAGTGAGAATTCATGCTACACATGGATCATGAGGTTCTCAAATACATGAACGATTAGAAAAATCTTACTCAGATGCATGCTCGTTGGGTGGCTTATTTGTAGTAGTTTACTTTTGTAGTCAAACACAAAGGTGGATAGCATAAAAAGGTGGATGTTGCCTTGAGTCGGCGGGCGAATTTGTTGGTGACCATGCAGAATGAAATAATAGGTTACTGATGTAGGATAAAAAGTTATGTAGGATGGAACAGTTAAAGTGTTAGAATGGGCTAAATTTTGCACAACTCAAGCGAAACGGGCCAACGAATAAGACTCATGGCTTTACCATGAGATCCGCTGGTTTTTGGGCTTCTGAGGTCGTTTAGAGTCTCAATTTTTTATTGTTAGAATGGGCTAAAATTTCCTTTAAATACTTTGTTATTTGGCAGTGGCCGACATCTTTTGAATTGAATAAAATTTCTTTTGAAGAGACTATAGCTAGTTCAACGTTTTTCCTTGAGGAAGTCCTCGTAATAAGGCTTTCTTTGAGGAAGTCCTCATGGTAAGGCTTTCTTTGATTTCACCGTACACCACATTGCAATATAAAATCAATAATTTCAAGCTCATAAATACATCTAGTACAGAAATTAGCCAAATGAGAAGCAGATAAATTTCAAAACTTCAGCTAGAAAAGCTCACCTGGTTATATGAATTTCTTCATATAAAAACTGGAAGATGACTCAAATGAGCTTAAAAAGATAGGATTTTTGTTTTGGACTGCACTCGACCGGCAAACAACAGTACAAATTGCTCTAATAATAAGTAAAGGAATCAAGAAAAGGGAAATGGATTCCTTTTCCACTTTCCCGATCGCTTCCTCTTCATATTCTCCTGTCCCCACGCGTATGAATATAATGTACGTATTCTGAAATTGTTAATAAGTTTTAAATTGGAATTAATATAGAATTAGATTAGCATATACCCTATTCACCCTCTTCCCCCTCCCGCCCTCTAGGATAATTTTATTTGGTATCAGAGCGATTTCAATACCTTCTTGCGTAATTTTACTCACTCATGTTAAGAAAGGTTTTCTCGTAAAATCTTAAACTTAAAAGAGAATATTTGTACGGCTGGGCTGTTGCAGCCCCCGTCCCTCCCACGGGCCCCTCATGGCGGAAGGTATATACCTGGTTTTAAAGAGCATGGGCCAAATATAGGCCTGCGGGCCTCAGCCCAATTCCAGGATCTACTACCCAAAACCTCGTTAACACCGAGACCCATTCATCGTCCTCCTCTCGATTTCTACAGCGATGGAGAAGGTCGACGGAGGCGAGCAAGAACGAAAAGAGAAGAGAAGAAAGGCTGTAATCCAAATCCCATCCTACGACGAAGTCTTCAGCTCCGCCGCCTCCGTCTCCTCCTCCTCCGCCGCCGACGGCTGCGCAGACCCTCGACCTCACAATCCACCGCGGCCTCCTCCTCCTCCTCCTCCTCCAAATTCATTCTCCGAAGCCTTCTCCTTCGTCAAATCCTCAGAGTTCTACGCCCCTCCTCCAAGGTCAGTAGTCAACCCCCAACTCCATTAATTTTAATTTATTTTTACATATTTCTCTTTTCCCCCCCCTCAATTGCACTTTAATACCCTAACGTTTCACGGATTTGGACTCTATTGTCTTCCATTGCATCACGAATTCTTTTTCCATTTCAATTTAAATCACTGAAATTTGGCATTGCACTGTAGCGAAAATTACAACTTGACAATGTTTACAACTAAAATTGGGAGGGAAAGTCAGACGAGAAAGGGTTTTTGGGGCAAAACTAATGGCGGTGAAACAGAAGGCGTTAAAGTTAATAAAAAAAGGTCAAAACTTTGGGGTATTAACCGGGCAAAATTAAACTTCGGGTACCAAAGTTAAAATTGATGAAAATTTTTGGATGTCGAAGTATAACTAATCCTTGCTCTTTTTTACTTAGAATTATTCATTTGTTTCCTCTCTTTTAAGGCCCGTTGCCGAGTCCCAGGCTTCGACTTCTGGTTCTAACTCTAGTAATGCGCCGGTCCATAGTCGAAATGCGATTCTTGTCAGCCATAGGCAGGTAATTGATTAAATACATTTTAGCAAAGGATGCTTTTTGGTCTCTGTTTTGGTCTCTAAATAGTCACTAATTTGATGGGTTTTTGTAGAAGGGGAATCCGTTGCTCAAGCACATTAGGAATGTGCGGTGGACATTTGCGGATATCGTGTGTGATTACTTGTTGGGTCAGAGCTCTTGTGCTTTATATCTAAGGTACTACCTTTTTTGTGTGTTTATGTGATATGAGCAAGCCATTGTTGTTTTACGGGTAAATCTTGAGAAACCTATTGACCTTTAAAAATTAGAGAAAATCCCAAGAATTTATCTCATTGAAGTTAGATTGGGCTTTGTTCTACGCTTTAATATTATGAGAATTTCCAATCTTACAAGGGGGTTTAGTACAATTGTGGAAATTCGAGGGTGGAGTTTTCTAATATACAAAGTTTAGGAGGGTTTTGTGAAATTTACGAAATTTTTTTCTTGATGTCAAGTGTTATGTTTGTTTATAGATGTTTTATCAACTGGTTGAAATTTTTATGTGAAAATGTGATGTCGTGTTTTTAAGATGGTTTCATTTGTTTGCGTTTGGTGTAGAGTTGTTTATGTTGTGAAGTTGTGATTTTGTTATATAGTCTTGAGCATGTGAAACTTTTTTGCTTAATTGCAAAATGCTAGTATGTTGTATTTTGCTTTAAAGGGTGGTTGTTCATGGGAAAATTATGTGAATGAGTTGCCAAATTATGTATGAAACTCTACAATATTTTTTTTATATGGATACGGGACACAAAAAAATTGCAAAAGGCAGGCAACGAGGACACATTTGAAACACATGGACTAAAATATAGTTCTAAGATAGATATGTAGAAAATCTTATGAAATCGTAGTTTTTAACTGAATATGTACTAAAGCCAACCTGACCCTTGTCCAACAAGTTTGGAAGTGAATGTGAAGTGTAGGATATATGTCCAAGAAGTGTGTGATGAGTGTTATAAACTGAAACAAGTATTGTATGGGTATAGGTATGAAGAAATGTGTACATATATTTAAAGAGTTTTCAAAAAGTGTCAGGTACGGGTACGTGACATGTCGGGTATGCGTACGACTTCATGATAGAAGTACCCACGCAATGTAGGTAGACAAGGGTGTAAAATGAGATAGATATTCGATTGCGTCATGTAAGATGTCGGATGTAGGGTATTATCTAACTGTCATGGAAATCACAACGTTGACTCGCCTCACATGTGATCTGTGATAGCAAGTTAATTGTTATATACAATAATTTTAGCAAACTTAAGAATGTATTGTAGCCTATAAAATTCGGTATGTGCACTTAATTGTCACTAGGTTGAAATAAAAAGGACAAAAAAGCATGAGCTATATAGCTAGGGTCGAAACAAAAGAAAATGGTCAAAAGTATCTCATAGTTAATTGCCATTGGGTCAATACATAAAGCCTATGAAGCACGGATTTGTCAAAAGAGCCCACGAACCCGTGTCCGACTCGAATCAGACATGGATTCGTGCACAACACGTGTCAGACACGGTCAATCCGTGTCTGACACGGGTCAACGGTCAAAGTTGGCCGGACACGATCAACATAGAGTTGGACACGTCGCGGATTCGTCGTCCTTTAGCGGGCCCTCCCACAAATCCAGCATCCAAGTCCACTAGGAAAAGATGAAACATGTTTGGGTTTAGTGCTGAAAACCCAAACTCGTCTCATCTTAGACCCGTTTCTCAGTATTATAAAGCCATAGAGAGAAAGAAAAACCGAGGGCAAAATCGTCGCTGCTTACCTCTCTCGATCTCGTCCTCGTCGCTGCTGGGTCAGAGAATCGGAATCGCCTTGTCCTTGTCAAGGTGAGTTTTCTTCTTCTTCTTCTCTCTCTGAGTCTCTCTTGATCTCTTCGTCTCTTTCTCAGTCTTTTCGTCCTCTCTCTTTCTCTCTCTGAGTCGATCTGGCGGGTCGAGTTGTCGCCCTCGATGAGGAGCACTCGCAAAGATCTGCACGGGAGGAAGCTCTCCAGCCTCATTGCGTGCCGATCACGTGACAGAGGCCTCCGCCGCCGGCGATCTCTCTGCTTCTGCTTCGTTCTCCGTCATCGATGAGAGAAAGTGGAGAGAGAATGAAGAGGGAAAAAGGCCTAGATATTTTCCCGCTTGGAAAATATCTGATTGCCTCGGGTGCCACGTCAGCAACAAGCCTACGTGGGCTTCCCGCAGACCGCTTGCTCGCTCTTTTTCCTCCAGCCCGCTAACGGCCCAGATATTTTCTCGGGGTTTTTTTCGTATTGGTCCCTTGAATCTTTGATGTTTTGAAAGTGGCCCCTCAATGAAATTGTTATTTCAATCCCTAAGTTAACATCAAACTGAACACTTTTTAAGCGAAAAATGTTAAGCCATGGATTTGAGTTCTGAGACTTTGTTTACGCCTGTTTCTTTAAACTCGGTTTTTCAAATGCTTTGGCATTTAAGGGATTAAATATTAAACATGTAGGGGGACTAATATGTGTATAAAGTTAATTTTCTTCTTTTTTCTATATATAATAATAATTTTAAAAACAAATTGTCGTATCCCCGTATCCTATTTTTTTGGATTTTACCGTATCCCGTAGTGTACGTGTCGTATCTGTGCCCCGTATCCGTATCCGTGCATTATAGCATAAAGCGATCCAACTTCTAAACAGTAAACACTAGTGCTTCAACCACTTTTATGTATCTTTTAGTCGCTTTTACGCCGTTTTAAAACTGCTAGGGTCTCATTTAGGGCGCTTTAGGCTACTTTCATGTAGCTTTTGTCTTTGCGATTGCTTTTGGACCTTAGTGAAGCGTAAATGTGTTGCTTTCGCTTTTTAGAGCATTTTTGTCATGCTTTTATAATATTGGTTGTGGTTTGTAGCCCATAAAAAATAAAAATTTTAAAGCCTTCATATTTAATTACTGTTGGATTGTGACTAATAAAAATGAAAAAAATAAAAAATTGTGAGTTATGTAGCCCATGAATATTGTTTAAAGTACCCATATTTAATTGCCATCGGATCAAAAGGAATGAAACTAGACAAAAATAATGCTTCTGAAATACGTACTTTATTGCAATTAGATAAAAAATAAATGAAAATTGCCAAAAATCATGGGGTAATAGTCATAAAATCGTAAATTTTCTAAGGACACGGTTAATTAGGTCAAAAAGAATGAAAACGGTCAAAACTATCACAAAGTTTGAAATATGCATGCTCAGTTGACATTAGGATGGAAATAGACAACTCATGAGTGCCCATGGAAGTCACAAATTTTGATGTGTGCATATCTAATTATCAACGGACCAAAACAAAAAGGGCAAAGTTATGTGATACAACAAAAAATTGACAAAAATCATAGGTCAGCTAATGGAAATTGCGAATTTTGAAGTACACATTTAACTATTATTGGGTCAAACAAACAAAATGGTCAAGAAAATCATAAAGCTTGAAATAGCATACTTAAGTCCTATTGGATTGAAATGGATGAAAGTGGACGAAAAAAATGGGTTAAAGCCAATGAAAATTGCGAATTTTGTAGTAAGCTTATTGAATTGTCATTTGAGTCTTACCAAAGAAAAAGGACAGGGTCATGAGTTATAGCTTATGAAAATTGCGAAATTTAATGTATTTATACTAAATTGTCATTTGATCAAAACAAACAAAAATGAACAAAATTCATGGTTTATAGCTTATTAGAAGACGATTTTGATGTTCGCACACTTCATTACCATTTATGAACTAAAAGAATATGGACAAAAAGCATGAAAATTGCAAATTGGAAGTATGCGTACTTAATTTCTAGGAAGAAACGAATGAAAATGGACAAAACATGAAATCATGAATACTGAAATCTGTATATTGGTTTTCCATTTGGCTAAAACAAACAAAAATGGGCAAATTTTGCAGGTTAAAGCTCATGAAAATAACGAAACTTGAAACCATATGGTCGAATTTTTTTTGACAAATTCATGGGTTATAGCTCATGATAATCGCGAATATTAAGATATTTATACTTAATTTCCATTAGGTCCAGAAAACCAAAAATTGATAAATTCGTGGGTTATAGCTCATGATAATCGCGAATTTTGAGTTGTTTATACTTAATTGTCATTGGGTCCAGAAAATCAAGAAATGACAAATTCGTTGATTATAGCTTATAAAAGTTGTGAATATTGAACTACACAATTCATTGTCATGGAGTCAAAACAAACGAAAATGGACAGAACTCGTGTTATAGCCAATGGGAATCACGAATTTTGAAGTATGTATTTCATTGTTATTGGGTCATAATGAAAGAAATTGGCAGAACTGTTGCTTCTAGTGGAAATCACAAATTTTATAGTGTGCATTCTTAATTTTTATTTGGCCAAAATTAACAAAAATTAGCAAATTCCATGGTTTTTAGTTTACAAAATCATGAACTTTGAAGTACTTATACTTTATTGCCATTAGGTCGAGACGAACAAGAAAGGACAAAATTTCGTGGGTTATAGCTCATAAAAAACTTGAATTTAGAAGTGTACGTACGTAATTGTCATTTGATCAAAACGAATGTAAATGTAGAAAATCATTTATTATAGCTCACAAAATCCTATGCCTAGTTCATTGCATTTGCTCGAAACGAATGTTAATGGGCAAAGTCTTTGGTTATGACTATGAAAATTATGAATTTTGAAATATATGCATATTTAATTTTCATTTGGTCAAAAATGAAAGAACATGTACGAAATTCGTGTGTTATGGCTCATGAAAGTCATGAATTTTTAAGTATTTATACTTATTTGTCACTTAGTTGAAAAAACAAAAATGGACGAAATTCTTGGGTGCTCATAAAATCGCGTGTACTGAAGTCCGCATAGTTCATTGTCACTGGGTCGAAACAAACGAAAATGGACGAAAATAATTGGTTATAAAGACCTTGAAAATCACAAAATTTGAAGTATGCACGCTTAATTTCCATTTGGTCGGAACAAACAAAAATGAACAAGTTTCATGGGTTAACCCATGAAAATAGCAAATTTTGAGATATTTAAACTTAATTGTCATTGGTAAAAAAATGAAAACAGAAAAAATTTGTGGGTTGTAAAAGATAGACAAAGTGTGCTATAGGTCATTAAAGCACTCATATTTCTTTGCCATTGGGTTGAAATTAACAAAAATAGGACAAAATCGTTGGTTATAAACTGTTAAAATC